GGTGACAGGGTGATTCTCATCTTTACATTCCCAACATGTCACCTGACCTAGATTTAATGACTAAAAATGCTATGACATTGTTGTTTTTGTTTTATTAAAATATTATAAAGAAAAAAAAATAGGGTTTATTAAACATTGAATTGTGCGTACTGCTGTCGTGTACTGATCTGTGTTAAGTAAAAAGAACGTGTACATGCCTTGGGTAGCTAATAGATTAACATAGCTAGGGGAGATCCTGGAATGTACTTTGCAAAATGAATATGCAAGATCTATATTGGTTATAGACCAGGCAACCTAAGACAGATTAATGCCTGGTCAGTGGATAGTGGAGCAACTAGCTTGGGGGTGGGGAGCGGGACTAAATGACTTCTTGGTTTCTGAGTTGGAGGAAATATAGCTCAGCGCCTGCATTGCAACTCTGGAGCCTGCCCACCTGAGCTCCTTCATTGATTCTTCACATGTTGATTTTATGATTTTTAGAACAAAAAAAGTATGTGGGGAGGCTTCTATGAGTCTCTGTTCTTTCATCAATAAAATGAAGATAATCCATCCAGACCTGCTGTGAAGATTTAATGTGATAATTTATGTAAAATGCCTGACACTTAGTAAGCATACAACAAACAAATGTGGTTATTTGGTGCCAAAATATGATAGAGAAATTTCTGGAAATCATGGTATGGTGATAAGCCACCAAACCATTTCCTCATGAAGAGGAAAGCATTTAGGACAGTATATCTAGCACACAGTGTTAGGCATCAGTTAGTGTTGATGCTGCTTTTGCTGCTCAGCACATCAGACAAACACAATTCCTGCCAGGTACTAGTTATGTTTCTTAGTCTCTGTGCCTTGGTTTCTTTACCTGTGAAGTGGCTATAATAACAATACCACCAGTAGTACTACTGAGGGGATGGAGTGAGAAAATTCATGTGAAGAAACTGGCCCTTAGCTGCACTTAATAAATGTCACTATGATTATTGATGCTTTCAGCATCTGATGGATGATACTTCTAGAAATTATGACTTGGTGGAAGACTATGTTCTTCTCATGGTATAATGTAAGGACAGGAAGAGAATGACATCCTTCTTAGGAACATGCCCCGTCTTTCTTCTGTTTTCTTTAGAGGAAGATGGGAATTTTCCCATAAGAGATGGGTCTTCTTTTCTTCTCTGGGCTCCTAAATTCCTTCCCACTGCCATACAGGACTCAGCATTCTGACATCAGCCAGACCTGGCTTCTCTGTAGCAATCCTTTTCTTAATTTTTAATTTGAGATCTTTGTAGATTTGTAAGACTTACAAAAAGTAACACAACTCCGATAACACTGTATCCAGCTTCCTCCAATGGTAACATCTTGCTAACTATAGTACAGTATTATAAGCAGGATATCGACCTCAATAAAAGCTACCTTATTCAGATTTCATCAGTTTTATATGCTCTGTATGTGTGTTTAGTTTTATGCAAATTCTATCACACATGTAGATTTATGTGCATTGCAGTCAAGATGCAGGACAGTTCTATCACAAGATATCTGACGTATCTTTTACCCCATAATGTCACTGATACATTCCCACCAACAACAACAATTTTCCAGGAAACATTTTCCTCCTGAATTAAAACTCACTAAGAGCTTGCTTAGTCCATCACAAATAAATTCTGATGAACAGTAACGTAACTGTGGAATGGGTCATCCCCCAAGATAATGGCATTCTCAGGAGAGCTTTAATGATTGCATTTTTGGGGAATGAGCCAAAGGAGAATATCAGGAAGCAAGATGAAAGAGAATGAGGCTCAAAATTATCACTCAATTTTAAGTTAACATGAAAAATGTTGGGAGTAGAGGAAAAAACAAGGAGTCCAAGAGCAGACTGATTCATCCAAGTAGAAGTCACAACAGACACACACACACACCCTTTCAGAATGAAAATTCTTTCAAAAACTTCTTCTCTTATTCAATCATAATTCATTGGAATAAATAAGAAATCTTTCTGCAGCTGAAGGACTGGAACTCATTCCTTCTCCTTCTGTATATTCTGGGGCAGAAGCTTAACATCAGTCAAGGCAATGCCCTGGCTTGCAACTGGGAGGCAGAGTGCTCCTGGATTGTCTGTGGTGAACCCCATCTTTTTAGTTCTAATGATCCTGACACAGTCTGCAAGTTGCAAAAAGCACTGACTGAAAGCTTGGCAGAACATGATAGTGAAAAGCATTTCTTTTATGAATTTTGACATAATTAAAAATGCAGAATATTCCCCAAGAATCCTCCATCTCTCCTAAGACCTTTCTTTCAGAGACTGGTAACTACAGCATATAATCCTGGGAGTGGGGAAGCAGAGGTCTTGGTCCTCAGTTGATTCATTATAAGATTCTTCTGGCAACAGATCTGAAGCACAATTCTACTGGCTTTTTGTGGTAATGCTGGCAATTGAAATAAGATAAATGTATTGGGAAGAGAAAGGTGTGAAGAAGCAGCCCTGCTGGAGGAGATGTTTGACTCAGATATTTTTACATTCTAAAGGTGGGATATGTGGACCAGCAGCACCAGCACCGCCTTGCAACTTATTAGGGTGTGGATTTTTCAATCCCACTTCACACCTTCTGAATCAGAAACTTTAAGGTTGTGTACCATTAATCTGTAGCTTTAAAAATTCTCCAGGAGATTCTAAAGCATGGTAAAGTTTGAGAGCAACTGGATCCCTCAACAAAAAGATTAAAAAATAAGAGTGTTGGACAACTAGAATGACTGACATAGACTAAGGGTCGAGTACCCTTTAAGATTCTAGAAAGACATATTTGAGCACCTATAAATGCTCGGCACTCTTCTAGCGACAGAGGAATAAACAAGACAGACAATAACTCAACTAACTGCATGGAGTACCGATAATAAATGCTCTAAAGAAAAAAGCATCAGATTTGGAGTGCAGTTTTAGTAGGCTGGTAAGGAAAGTCTTCCTTAAGGATTTGATATTTGAGCCGCTGCCTGAGTTCAAGAACTAGTGGGTCATGCTAAGATCTGGAGGATAGGCATTCTGACAAAGAGAATCGTGGCAGTGAACAGGAACATGAGTTTGGTGTGACTCAGAGACACCGAGGAGGCAGTATTTCTTCTCACTGTCAATACAGTGGGGGAGAGGACAGCAGGTTAGTGAGAGGTGGAATGGAACTAAATTGTACAGGGTCCTACAGGCAGGAAAGGAAATTTCTAATTCTCATGAGTGTCATGGAAAGCCATTGGAGGCTCTTGGACAGGGGAAGGACATAGTTTGTTTTATTGCAGACAATTTGCTGCATAGGAGTTCCCCTGTGTGAGAAAAAAAAGTAAGATCAATGACTAGTTAGGAGGTCAGTCAGCATGATTATGGATGACAAGCTCTAGATGAATATGGAAGTGGAAAAGGTTATGAGATTGGTCAGATTTAGGATATATTTTGCATATCTGAGACTGGGAGAAAAAGAGGAATCAGGAATAATTTCTGCTTTAAGCTACTAGGTAAATTTTGTGTGTATGTGTAATAAAATGAGTACAACTGGGGAAAGAATAGGCTTGAGGAAAAAACCAAAAATTTTATTTTGGCCATGTTAAGTTTAAGATGTCTACTAAAACATGAAGAGAAGGCTATCAAATACACAAATCTGCTACTCAGTAGGTAGATCAAACTGGACTTTATTACCTTCTAGTATATGTAACTAAATAATACAACTATTCATTAAATAAGCTATAAATATGTAACATAAGCATTTCATAAAATAATCGTCTAAGTTTGCTTTCCCCCCATTCTTACCCTCCTGAGTCTATTTTATTTATTTATTTATTTATTTTAAAGAGAGAGAGAGAATTTTTTTTAAATTTTTTTGTTTGTTTGTTTTTGGCGGACACAACATCTTTGTTTGTATGTGGTGCTGAGGATGGAACCCAGGCCACACGCATGCCAGGCGAGCGTGCTACCGCTTGAGCCACATCCCCAGCCCCTGAGTCTATTTTATTCAAACTTCCTGCATGGGGCTTTTGCATCAGTACTTTCCCATTGTTGGTCTTCTCACAGTTCTCCAGAGCACATCATCCTCACTTCCAGATTGAGCTGTTTGACTTGCAGCACTTTTTGAATCTGTATATGTTGCCTCTGGGGACTTTATACCAACAACAAGAAATCCATTTGCAGCTTGTGGTCTCCACACCCAAATCACACCGTCTTTTTTTGAAAAGCGATATGTAGAATTCTTGTTTCAGTAATGTTTTAGTCAGCTTTTTTTGCTGCTGTGAGTAAAAGACCAAGCAGAACAATTTTAGAGGAGGAAAAGTTTATTTGAGGCCTCAGAGCTTCAGAGGTCTCAGTTCATAGACAGCAGGCTTCATTCCTTAGGGCCTGAGGTAGAGCAGAACATCCTGGTGGAAGAGAGTGGCAGAGGGAAGTGGCTCACATGATCATCAGACAGCAGAGAGAAACTTCACTCACCAGATACAAAATGTATACCCCAAATGCATGTCCCCAATGCCCTACCTCCTCCAGCCACACCCTACCTGCCTTCAGTTAATCCCTATCAGGAGATTAATTCACTGATTGGATAAAGGCTCTCAAAATCCGATCATTTCTCCACTAAACCTTCTTGTATTGTCTCACACATTAGCTTTAGGGGGACACTTCACATCTCAAGTATAACAAGTAACATCAAGCAATGGTGATCCCTGGAAAAATGGCCAATCCAACTTAAATTTTTTCCTCTCCGAGTTTGCTGATTGCATTGAGTTGCCTATAAAAACATTCCAAACTAGCATTGACAGAGATTGCATTCAACTAATGTGTCTCCTTCAAACAACATTTTATTGTCCAAAAGTAAGTATCTAATAGAGCACCTTTGTAAAATGAGAGAGGCTATAAAATCCAAATAAAAAACAATTCCCTCTCTCTTGAAAAATGATTTTTGGAGATAAAAACATCATGTATTCCAGCATGAATGGGTCAAAGCTGAAGACCACTGATAAAGAACATTTGGGCCTTGGGACTCATGCCCATCTTCTGCAACTGGGGAAGTGCTAAGGCACTTGAGGAAGAATTCTCAGTCATCCTGGTGTATTCTGGCATTGAGTTCACCGTGAGTGCAGCTAAGATAATGTAACCCAGGGGATGCAGGAAGGAGGCTGATATTGCTTGCTTGGGTGCATATCAGAGTGCCTTCAGGCACATTGGGTTGAATAGATAAATGAAGTTGGAGTGTTCGCTTTTCTTGGTGCCACTGACATCATGGTTTCTGGATTGAGAATAGGAGAAAATGTGACAACAGGAGAGTCTCTTCATAGATCACTTAACAGATTCTTGATTCCCCTCCCTCAGGATTGTTGTTCCCTTGCAATGTGCCCTGATGACAATGCTGCTGCCACTGTTGAGTGCTGCCATTACAGCAGCCAAAACTTCAGCCCACAGCACAAGAGTTGTGGTCAGAAGTGAGACTAGCCTGGGCCCAAAACCTCAAATTGAACTGTTATTTTAATGAGATAATCCCTAGTGTTGCAATTAATGCATTCTCACTCCCCCAACCCCACCTCAGTGGAGTTCCCGTACTCTCTTCACTGTCCCTGTATGTTTGCTCTCAAGGTCATCTCTCCCTGGATGTCCCTTCTGCCAGTTCATTGTCTGGCAGATCTCCACTCACTCAGCTCCAGCAGGATCTCATCCAACAAGACTTCCTTGGGCTACCCTGGGTATCTGGCTACTTCCTTTTCTATGATTCCCTAATTCCTCTGCAGATAATGATTGTACCCATACCACAAGAATTTTGTAATGTGTTCATGCAGCACACTCCTGTTAAACTGAGGGACCTTGGGCATAGGAGCTGGGCATAGGGTCCACCAAAGACCTTAGGACCCTCAACATTTATTCAAGGACAAGTGTTCAAGGTCACATTTTATTTTATTTTGTGCTATTATATATTATAATATATAGTAACATATCCAATATTGTGTAATATACATAATATATGTCAAATAATATGATATATAATATGTATTTTGGGGATTGAACCACTGAGCTATAGCCTCAAAGTTATTTTATTTATTTATTTATTTATTTAGTCAGGGTCTTGCTAAGTTACTGAATCTGGCCTTCAACTTGCTATCCTGTCTCAGCCTCCTGAGCCACTGGAATTGCAGGCATATGCCACCATGCCTGGTATTTTGTGCTATATTTTAAAATTTGGGTCTGATGTATATCCCCTACATGGAAGGAGACCATAGATATGGCCACATATATGTTGTCATTTGAAAGATGTCATAAAGGGTTCTCAGCCTTCAAATGTGATATATCCTCTGATAATTGATTTGAATCTCAAATTACTCCATTAAAAGTTATCCTCTCATATAGATTTCTCAAGAATCCACTGGCTATCTACAAATAACCTTGGGGAGAATAAGTCATCAAGTTCAATTCTTCTTAACTTAATATGCATAGGAATCACCTGGGGATCTTGTTAGACTTCAGATTCTGATGAGAGTGGAAGCAAAGGATGAGGTTCTGCACTTCTAAAACGTTCCAAGTGATGCTGCTGATGCTGTTTGATTGCAGACCACATCTTGGGTAACAATGGTCTAGCATGAGTCCTTCTCACTTTTGGTGTTCATCAGAATCACCTGGAGATCTTCTCCAAACAGATTGGTGGGCCCCACTCCCAGGTTTTCTGATCCAGTAGAACAGAGTTTGCTTTTCTAACAGATCTCCAGATGCTGCTGCTGCTGCCCTGGTCCATGGACTGTACTTTGAGAAGTACAGCTATTTAGCCAATGTGTTTTTCTCCACTCCTGAGAGAAACTGGAGACCATCACCCAGTGGAAACCCCACCTGTGGGAGCTAATGTCAGCTGCTCCTCCATCATGCTATGACTTGGTCTGGACTTGTTCTGCTACTATTCCATTCCACTCCCATTACAGGGGCCAGTGTTGATTTCCATCGCTCTACTTGAATTCACCAGCACACCCTCTGATTCACAGAGCAAATAGAAGCCCTTTGGTTTGAACTAAATCAAGCTCCTGGTTGATCCACTATGTACAAAAATATCAGCATCACATCCATTCGAACCCCTTTCTCCTGTAGGAGACAAGTAAATGTCTCTCTGCCTGTGCAAAGGCATTCCGTCTGGGCCTGGGTCACAGGCCTGCTTCCCTCAGAGGTCTTCGTCTTCATTTATCCCTCTCAGTTCCTATTTCTTCCACATTTTAATTATATTTAAATCTTTCTTGTCTTCAGAATTTTTTTTTTTCTCTTTATCCTGCCTACTTTACTCCTTCCTTTGATAGTCACATTTCTAGAAAAGAAAATCAAAATCTGAAATGTATACTCATTACTTCCTCAATTCCCGGCAACTCAAAGAGGCTTTCATCCTCGTTAGTATCACCACCTTGGCACCAAATTTGTTGGCAATTATCAGTACTCAACTTCAATTTCAAGGCACAACCACTTTCACAAATGTCCTTCTATGGTAATGATTCCCATATCAATCGAGATCCAAGCAGGAAGATGCTTGGGTAGAAGACGATTAAGAGCTGAGAAAATAAATAGAGGTATTGAGGGCATCCAGAAATTAGTAAGGACAGGAGGCTGCTCCCCTCCTAGCCTGGAAGGACAAAAGGAAGAGGTAAAGCCATCATAACCAATGGCTCCTGTGACTCACAGAAATGAGCCATTGATCTATGTGGCTCCTCCCAGCTAGAGGAGATAAGCCCAGTGGGAAGTCACCCCAAGGGCACAAAGAGGGGAAGAAATTCCTTGTGTTCTGCTTTGCTAAATCCAATCTCCCACTAGTGCCTCTCTTTGGCCAAGTTCAGCTTGCAGCCCCTGAGAAGGGAGCCTGGGAGAAGCAGCCTGCAGAGGTTAGCAAGCAGTGACAAAGAGCAGAGGGTGGAGGGGTGAGGCACCCATCTGATGGCAAATAGGCTGAGGACCAGCACTCTGTGTGTATGTGTTTCGGGGGAGTTGGGGAGTACTGGGGATCGAACCCAGGGCTTGCACATGCTAAGCAAGGGCTCTACAGAGCCATACCTTCCACCATGAGATCTACCTCTTAAGCACCAAGAAAGGATTATACATATCAACATGGATGCTCATGAACAGTTTCCTAATGGCACTGTCTCCACTAAACCTGCTTCACTACCTCACTGACAAAGGCCAACAACTTCCATGAGACTAAATCACATAATTGTTCTTGGTTCCTTCTTTGCTGGTTCTGCCCATATCCTATTGGCCACCAGGTTTTATTGATCTCTGCTTTATATACATTTCTCAAATCCATGCTCACCACCCTCCACTCTGCTGCAGCTTCAGTTTAGACCCTCCTCACTCACCCAGGCCAAGGTAAATCTCCTGAACTCTGTGACGATTCACTCCTGGTCTATTGCCCATGCTGCTGCCATAATGACCAAGGTAACATGCACATTGAACCATGAATCTCACCTGCACAAAATTCTTTAGAGTTTCGCCAACAAGCACCCAAGTCCTACCAGGAAGGGTAGGTTCTGACTCTCCCATAGGTCCTATCAGAGTAACCATTTCTAACATTCGATTCTCCTTCTTCAAGGAAAGAGAAGGATCAAGAAAAGAAAGTGCAAAAGACCCTAAGATACACAGGTTAGCCTCAAAGGTACCATGGCCACATTTTATGGTATGATATAAAGCCGGAAACAGGGTCTGCCTCATGGGCATGAGACCTGAGCAACCACCCAGGGTTTCCTGCTTGATTCTCTCCTGTTTCTGTCTTGAAATTTAGACAAATTTGGGAGGTGGGCATGCACCCAGAACCTTCTGAACGCAAAGTAGTGCACATTCTACCACTGAGCACCCCTCTCCCTGAAATTCATGATAATGTGGAACAAGGAGCCTTCACATTCATTTTATCTTGGATCTCATGAGTTATGAAGCCAATCCAGCAGGAACATCTACAGACTTGAGAAACACAGCCAAATGCTATTCCAACTGATCGACTGCTCAAGTATTTGAGCTATAATTTGAGTATAACTTTGGATTTTAGAATCCAGAAAATATAAGGCATGGAATGACTGCATGATTTATGAAAGGAATATAGAGGTTTGAGAACAAGCTGAACATGAATCAAGAATGGAAGAAAAGTATTTAAACTTATCACTAATAGAAGAACAATATAGAAGTAGTGTTTTTTGTTTTTGTTTTTAAAGATCTGAGAGTATAGCTCAGTGGTAGAATAGCCCTGAGGTTTGATCCCCAGCATCTCAAAAACCAAAACAAAAAAAACCCAAACCACAAAAAAACCTTCAAGAGACAACATGGGAGTAATGATCATGTGTGGTAACTGGAACTCTTTCCTGAAAACCTATTGGAAAAGATCTAGAAGAAAAAAATATATAGGACTGGGGCTGTAACTCAGTGGTGGAGTGTTTGCCTCACACATGTGAGGCTCTGGGTTCAGACCTCAGTACCACATAAAAATAAATGAATAAATAAAGATATTATATCCATCTACAACTAAAAATATATTTTAAAAAATAACAATCATTGTTTTTAATCATAACTAGCTATTACTTCTCTTCAATGAGAATTACATAAGGGAAAATGGCCACTGAGGCTAACTAGAAGAAAAATTTTTGTTTATTGTGGATGATTTTATATAGCATAGTAAGTTAGCAAAGAAGCAAAACTATTGCTGTATTTTTCTTGTTTCACATTCTTTGTTTCTTGTTTCTCTTTACTATTCTTTTCTTTCCTTCTCTTAATTCTGGAAAGAGCAAGTAAAAACAGTATTTACACAAGATTTTGAAATTCCAGTTAGAGAAAAGGTCTTGGAAATCAGCTTTGGCCTCCATGTGCCAAGAAACAACAAGATGTCAGGCGAATTCAAGAGCTGTGACTGGGTATATGGATAGGGCTACTGGAGGTGTGGAGATAGTGGAATCTGTATTCAGGCATTGGTGGGAGAGGCAGCTGCACAATAACGTTTACAGAGATGACAGAAATTGCAAGTCACTTTTGCATTCATAGAGAAGGAAACAGAACATTATTGAGACTGCTACGCCCACCTTGTGCATACTTTTTTTTTAACACTACTTCTATATTGTTCTACTATTAGTGATAGAT